GGTAAGAGATTCAAAATAGCCAGATTTATAAGCGGTGATTGAAAAATAGTCACAGTTTTAAAAGTAATTGGAATTTTGCCACTTTTCATGTAAAGTTGAATCTTATCAAAAATACTGTTCGAAATCCGGAAAATAATACCGGAGTTCGAATTTTTTGCATGTGAACTTCCAGCATAACATGCTGTAATTTCATAATGTACCGGAATTCATAATGTACCGGTATTCCAATATAATATGCTGGAAGTTCATACATAGGTGCTCCAGTCTCCTGTATATTATGCCGGAACTTACCGTGTGCTGGAGTTCCAACATAATATGTTGAAAGTTCATAGACAGGTGCTCCAATTTTCAGTATATTATGCTGGAACTTTCCGTATTGAGGTATAGTGGCTATTTTTTTAATGACTTGTAAACGCTGGCTATCTTCAATCACCCGTCCGAAAATTGGCTAGCTGTGCTATTTTAACGCGTTTTTGGCCTATTGGTTCGGGCTTCAAAGATATGAGGCTGCAGTCTGCTTGTTAGTAGATGACCATCTTTTCTGGCTCGTCAAATCTGAAAATGTTTGTTGATGATGTTATATTCATTTAAAGAGGTTGCATTGCAGGTGTTTATTACTAATTTGTGGACAGCAGAGTGCTTTTATAAATTTGTCACGGCTCTACTATACTTCTTTGATTTGTATTTTAATATAACGTAAGTATGTATTTAAGTTTTATTTTCTTAGTGGTAAATTAATGATCTTTTAAGAGTTGGTTATAAGTTTTGCCTTTACTTTTGATAATTAAAATTTTTTGTATTACCTGCATTAGGTATATGTTTATAAGTTTCTCATCATTTTTTATTCTCGATAGTGTAAATAGTTTTTTAAAATTCGATTGCTATAAATAAAGTTAATGACAAAAGCAAATTATTTTATTTTAATTTTTATTAGGCTCATTCTTTTCATTATTCGACGTCATTAATTTATATGTTTGATTATCATTTTTTACTTTTCAGTTTGAAATAAAATTTAATTATTATTTATAGCTAAGTTCACGACATAGATATCAGAAAAAAAAAATATCATGATAGTAAAAAGGTATTACTTAATTATATCTTCAACCTGTGACATCCCATGCGGGCCTAAATCTTTTTCATGTGCTAAGCATGTGGATTTTTTTGTTGTTGATTTTTTATAACGGTGGTGATGAGACTTGAACAGAGGACCTCTGCTTGCTTCGATACTATGTTGAAGCGTGTGACCATCCATTGAAATGCTTAAGCTATTAGAGAGAAGACACGTACCTAATTATGTCTTGAACAGCTCTCAATAATTACTATGTTTGCCACTTTATTTGCAACCATTTCCTTTTTGTGCTTGTCAGGTAACATGTTTGCACTCTATCTGGATATCATGATAGGACAATTTTCTCAGTTCACTGGTCGAGGTAACTACTCNCTTGAAGGATGACAGTGTTAGCTTATATGCTGTGATAATATTTGTATCTGTTTTCCCTGTCATCCTACAAGCTAACACTGTCATCCTTCAAGCTAACGAACTTGATATGCTAAAATGTCAGGGAAGGAATAATTGCTAGTGGAGCAGCAGATGACGCTATATGTTTATTTGTTGAGAATAACGAAAACGAGGTATTGCAAAACTATCAGTATCCCTATTTCTTTTAATAATAATGTAATTCATCTTACATGATATCTAGCAGATGCGGATCTAGGATTTTATAACATGGGTGCACCACTAAAGAAAGGAGAAAAAAAAAGTATTAAGTGGGATTTGAACCCTACACCTCTTAATAAATAATACAACATTCGTCCAAATGCACCATTTAGCCTCTTTGGAGCATGGGTGCTAACTGCCAGCAGATAATATTAGATCAATTCTAAAAAATATGTACACAAAATACCTAGTTTAGTGGAAAGATCATGGGTTCACGTGCCCCATATATATGCCTATAAATCCGCCCCCGATATCTAGTACAGTGGTGAGTTTTATGCTGCTCTGTACTCCCCAACCTTTCTCCTATTCACTCAATTTCTTGTGGGAGCTGGAAGGTGGGGTGTTCTTCACGAAAGTCATTGGTTCGCCCTTTTCCTATGTGGTTCCTTAATGAGATTCTTAAAATGTTGATGGCTTGAGTTTTTTTGGGTCTTTGTTTCATGGGAAGGAAGTAATGATAGCAACTTAATTTTTATTCTTTTTCTAGCTGTTGGGTCGCTGTGGAAAGAGGCGGGCTTTCAGTTTTTTTACCTCGAGATCCCTGTTTAAATATCATAAACTAGTAATTACGATTTGAGTGGACCCATTACAAACATAAAAAAGAATTAGCTTAGAGGACCACTTAAAAAGATGTATATTTTCTAGTTCGTCAAGCTAATGAGCAGATTACAATGATCCCAAGGGGATAACCTAGTGGTTGATGCGTGGGAGTAACAACATGGAGATTTCGGGTTTCGAATCCCATCTACAACACTTGGTGTGGTCCCATCAGCTCCAGCCTTGGTGAGCTGGATTACCCTGACAGCCTGTGCTTGCATGCGGGACATACTATCCTACATATAGTCTAGGAGTGGGTAAGCTGTCCCCACCTCGAGCGCTATATTAAAAAAATGGTAAACAGAGCAGATTACAGTTAGGGATCCTGATAACTGCTTAGGACGACACTTGGATTCTGACTTGGTTCTTCTGGCCAATCTCGCTCGACTTGAATATCTATTTAAATTTTTTATACACTGGTAGGAAAAGAAAATATTTTTAATCAGGTAAAGTAGAAAATCCATTTGAGACAGCTAAAAGATCTAGAAAAACCGATCTCCATTAATTACAATATAAATATAACAAGTCATATGAATGATGTTGTCCATATACAACTACTGTTGATCTTCTATTATCGCCTCTTCCAACCACTCTTTGGCAAAATAATTTTTTTGTGTCTGTCTGATCCAAAATAAATAAATAAATAAAAGTTTGCTGGGTCTGATTACAGGTTGATGGACCTACATTTAAACTACTTCTGAAGAAGGAGAAGGCTCATGAAATGGATGTAAATTCTGTGCAGTGGAACACTGGGGTAAGTCAATGGAATACCAGAATGATGGGATTTTTGACATTTACTTGCTCGTCTATTGTTGCTTCAGTTCTGTATTTGTCTGCTGCAAGATGATTTAGCTTTGAGCAGAAGCCAAGATCACCTGGAAATTTTTTGAACGTGTTAGGGATGATAATCTGTTGCCCGTTCAATCCCTTGTTTAGTTACCATGTTGAAGTTTAACAAATGTCTGACCTTTCTAATGTATCTTGTGTTGGCACTTCATGATGCAGTAACCTGCTCGTTTCCTGGTTGCTTGAACTTGAAAATTTGAATTTGATACTTTTTGGAACTTTATCCTTGGGATACCAATTGGATTGTTAATGTTATACCCAACCATAAATATGGTACAATCTTATTGTGGTTGGGACTTCAAGTGGCACCTAAATTGGACATGTTAGATTGAGCTAAGATCATGTTCTATTTTTGATGGATGACTTTAATGTCAAACTAACAACATATATCCATTTGACTCTTGTCTTTCAAATCCACAACTCTAGAGGGAGCGCTGGGTTATGCTGCCCTGGTATAGTATTGCACATTACAGATGTTGGTTTTCATACTATGAGCGCACCAAAAACATCTAGGTTTGGACCTTGAAATGAATATTTGTTGACCTGAGTTTTGCTTTACTTTCCATTGACCCATGTGTAATAAAATGTGTGCGTCAGAGCTGACAATTCGTGTTGTGGACAATAAATATANAAGAGCATTCATAACTTCTTCATTTAATTGTTCACCTTGTGCAACATTATGGCAAAATTCACTATCGGAAAATTGAAAACAAGGGTTATCACTATCAAGAATAATAGGAGCAGCAGGACGGGTAATAGGTCTGGGTCGGGAGCCGGGGGAAGGGTAGTAGGTTGGAGACTACTTTCACCAATTTTAGCTTTTCCCTTACCACCAAACATTTTTTTCAAAGAAAATGCCATATTAATTACAATTATGCAAACTAAACACACAAAAATATATTCTTAAAAGTTAAGAGTTGGAACGAGTTTACCGAATTGCCGAACAACTTCTTGAAAATTGAAAATCGTTGAAGACTTGAATACTTCAATTCACTTCAATTCACCAACTTCACAATTTTTCACGAAATTGCAATAATAAAATAAGCAATTATAGAAGAGAAATTAGATATAGGTTGAGAGAGATTGAGAGAGATTGAGATAGATTGATGAATTGGTGAGTAAAAATGAAAGAATGAGGGGGTATTTATAGTTGAGAATTGGGGAAAAGTGTAATTATATAAAGTTTGGGGTTAAAATAAAGTTTGGGGGCCAAATGGCTATTTTTTAAAATTCCAAACGGTTGAAAATTAAAGGCCAACGGCTAGATTTTAAAATCTGACCGTTGGCTACTTTTTAAAAAAAAAAATTTTTTTTTTAAAAATTAGCCGTTGGAGCCCGTTAGGACCGCTAGGCCCGGTTGAACCGGCCCAGGACCGCCTGCCGGTCCCGGGCTTAGCGGTCCCGGTCTCGTGGGCTACACGAGCAAGACCGGCCCGTCACGGGCTTCTTACCCATTAAGGGACCGGCCCACCAGGACCGGCCCGCCGGGACCGTTTAGCCCGTTAGGACCGCGGGCCCGGTCCGGTCCCGGTCCCAGACCGGCCCACCAACAGCCTTATGTATATAGACCCCACCCACCCCTGAGTACTCCTTTACAGAACATCAGGGACATTCTTTGATCATTTTCTCTACTAATGTGACCAGTTGAAACCACTTCTACTCTCACAACTAAATGGAAATTTATTCACCAATTTATACAGCATTGTGCAATCTTTAGAAGGAACTACCATTTACAGCCTTTTTTTTTGGTAGAAAACAAGGGTGATTAGAAGGAAAATAAAGCAAATGGAAATTTTTGTAGTAGTAAAGTTGACACCAGTGGCTAAAGTGTGAAGTTATAATGTTTTTGACAAATCGTCGTTTTAGTAATGCAGAAAGCATATACTGGCCAGTTTTTGTCATTGCAACTTTAGCTGCTATCGTTGCAAGTCAAGCAACCATTTCTGCTACATTTTCGATAATCAAGCAAGCTCTGGCACTAGGCTGTATTCCAAGAGTTAAGGTTGTACATACGTCAAAGAAGTTCCTTGGGCAGATTTATATTCCTGATATAAATTGGATACTTATGATTCTTTGCATCGGTGTCACTGCTGGATTCAGAAATCAAAGTCAAATTGGCAACGCATACGGTGAGTACGTGTGTCGAATATAATATTGCTTGATTTTGTTTGACTTTTTACTGAGAAGCAAGTGGGTTCACTGAATAAAACTGGTTCAGACACCATCATTATTAACCCCCCCCCCCCCCCTCCCCCCCCAAAAAAAAAAAAAAATCTGCTCTGAACCATTGGTTCAAAGTGTGTTCGTTGAAAATTCACTATCTATATAAGTAAATATATTCCACGAACAAAAACAAAAAAAATTGTGTACAGCAAAGACTAAACCACTTGACAAAATGGAGAGCTGCGGCATAGCAGCAAAGTGGGTTCACTCAGTAAAGTCATGTGTCTGAGCCTTCAATGTAGCTCTTTTTCTCCATCTTCTAGAGAAAGACCAAATAGGGTTATTATTTGTGAGTCTGTTTATGACTTAATAAATTGTTTGTCTACTGTGTTATAGGTTGCTAAATTAGTATTGTGATTTAAAAACAAAGGGCAGCCCAGTTTGCGAAGCATCTCGTGTTCACGCAGGGTGTGGGAAGGGTCGCGCCCCGAAGGGTGGAATGTAGGCAGCCTACCCTGATGCAAGTATCAGTGGCTGATTACACGGCTCGAACCCGTGACCTAAGTCACACGGAGACAACTTTGCCATTGCTCCAGGGCTTCCCTTCAAATTAGTATTGTGATTATTGATTACAAAAATAATGCATGAAAATTAAGAAATGAATTAATTGTTAAAGTAAACATAAAATTCAAAATTAAAATGCTTTGTTCAAAGCCTCTGAAAGTTGGGTCATGGAACAAAATGATTGTTCTGTTCGGTAGATTAATATATAATAATATAAAGGGCGATGAACAAGGGAAAAACAGAATACTAGGCTTGCTGCCCCGGTGCCCCCTGCTGCTCGCTATTGCTTTACCACACTTGTGCAAATTCTGGCTCAATGATTCTGTTTTCTTATCTATTATAGATTCCTGCGTTTAGCATTTACACCATATGTTGGAACACCTCACCTTGAAATGTACATACTAATGTAACATTTTCTTGAACAGGAACGGCAGTCGTGATAGTCATGTTGGTGACCACGCTCCTCATGACCTTGATAATGTTACTAGTTTGGCGCTGCCATTGGGTTCTTGTCCTTATCTTCACTGTCTTATCTGTGGTGGTTGAATGTACCTACTTCTCTGCTGTGTTATTTAAGGTTGATCAGGGTGGTTGGGTTCCGCTTGTGATTGCTGCAGCTTTTCTTGTCATCATGTATGTCTGGCATTATGGAACTGTGAAACGATATGCATTTGAGATGCACAGCAAGGTGTCAATGGCATGGATTCTTGGGCTGGGCCCCAGTTTAGGACTTGTACGTGTACCGGGGATAGGACTTGTCTACACCGAGCTGGCTAGTGGGGTGCCACACATCTTTTCTCACTTCATTACAAATCTGCCAGCTATACATTCAGTTGTGGTATTTGTCTGTGTGAAGTATCTTCCAGTTTACACAGTTCCAGAAGATGAGAGGTTCCTCGTGAAACGCATAGGACCCAAGTCTTTTCACATGTTCCGCTGTGTTGCAAGGTATGGTTACAAAGACCTCCATAAGAAAGATGAGGAGTTCGAGAGAAAGCTATTTGATAACCTCTTCCTTTTTGTTCGGCTGGAGAATATGATGGAAGGCTGCTCTGACTCCGACGAATACAGCTTATACGGACAGCAAACACAGAATTCAATGGATTATTTAGTGCGAAATAGCGGCAACTCAACTACAGGAAATAATGACTTTACATGTTCGACGGTGGAATCAATAGTACCTGTGAAATCTCCCACTCAAGGNTTACACATAAGAAATCTAAAAATGATACTTTTTTAATTCCAACATTGTAAATGGCCATGAAGGCCTATTTCCTCTGCAAAGCATTGCACATTCCAGTAAAATGTGATTTCTTTCCTACTTTTTCATGTCCCAAAATGAATTAAATTTTGGATTTTTGTGTAGTAGAATTTTTATACAATATGATTGCAAGATAACCGCTTTGACATCACAAGTAGAGAGAAATGGTGTAGGCTTTGACATCAGATTGGTGGATTGAATCACTGTAGTTTAGGTAGATGAGGTAAACAATAGGTTCAGACACTTGGTCTAACAGAAACATAGAGCACTAGGAGGATACAATCTTTATTAGAATGTTTTGTTGATTTAACCAAGTCATCTTTAAGTTGAAGAGATATAGGAAGAAGATTGAAACATCTATTTCTTTCTTAGCCTTCAATAAAGCACTGCTGAAATTAGTGTGTAGGCTAAAAGCATTGTCTGGGACGAGTAGACTACTGCAGGCAGGAGCGTTTCTGTAATATAAACTGGACATAATGAATTAAAATTCTGATCCAATCTATGTATATATCATACTATATTTTATAAGTGTGAAACTTTTAAGTTAAGGTTGAACTACGAAAATACCCACTAAAAGCTGAAAGACTATTTTGCCCTCTAATAACTAAATTACTGCTTCAACGTTAGTGTGGGTAAATAAACTACTTCATATAGTTTGTTTTGAGATCTAAACTAAGTATAATATATAAGAATTTTCAATTAATTTACTATGTACGTACATGCATTTAATTGAAGGCTTTACGTTTTCCTAAGATAGCCTCATCAGATTTTTATACATGTATCACGTGTTGGAACCAAAATAATTTAAGATGGAATTATTCATCTTTTACCCAAGACCTATCATGTCAAATCATCAAAAATAAAAACTAAATGCGGAAGCGTAACCTAGTAAAGGGGCTTGGGCTCGAAAGCCGGCCTTACTCAACAAGCACCTTTCTTAGTAAGGTTGCTTGTTTCCACTCATTAAAGATTCTATCTACAAAAGAAGGTCAACGGGGATACTCAAATAGCTCTCACTAATCCTTCGTCCAACCTATTGGTCTTCCAAACCAAGACGTAAGTCGTTCTCTTCTTTCCAACGATGGGATGCTAGAAAGAAAACCCCTACGTCTGATTTGGGGACCATAACCCATTTATGGTTGCACATGTTTATTGTCATGACCCAAATCCTAACCCGTCGTGATGGCGCCTATCGATAGTACTAGGCAAGCCGACATTTTCAAAATACTTCCAATATTTAACAGAAAACGAATCAAGAAATTTTTAAATGAGCAAAGTTTTTATAAACAACGGTAAAACCAAAAACATAAGTGCGAAAAATAGCTCCCAATATCGGGGTGTTACTAAGCCCACGTGCATCTATACATCACTAATTTAGAAATAAAGTGTCTATCCAAGTCTGGATCTAAATACAACGGAAGAAAAAGATAAGGAAGGAGAAACAAGGACTGCAAACGCCAGACAGCTACCTCGATATCTCCAACGGTCAGCTACGCGAAATAACAACACCCTCCGCGTCCAGAAATTTTTGGATCTGCACACGAAGTGCAGAGTGTAGCGTGAGTACAACCAACTTAGTAAGTAACAATAATAAATATGGAACTGAAAGATAGTGACGAGCTACACAGTTATAATTCATTTTCAGTAGACTCAACAAGGAAAATAGACATGCTTCTCAAATCCGGCAAATTTAGTCAAATCAGTTTGTTCATGCCAAGTTCAAGTAAAACTAGATAAAAATATCTTTCAGAAGGTTTCAAAATAGTGATATAAGGCAACGATGTGCAACAACAATGAAATCATATACAGCCTCTCATGGCAACAATCACTCATTCCTCCCTACCAACCTCACAATCACTCATTCCTCACAGCCACTCATTCCTCACGGTCACTCAGCACTCGCACTCAGTAGGTACCTGTGCTCACTAGGGGTGTGTATAGACTCCGGAGAGGCTACTTCAGCCCAAACGCTAAATCAAGTCAATCATGGCATAAATTAATAAAACATGTTGCGACGTGCAGCCCGATCCCATAAATATCCTCACAATCAGGCCCTCAGTCATCAATCTCTCCAGTCTCTCGGGCTCTCAGAAATCAGGAAAATCAGCCCAAACAACAATAATATGATGCATCAACAAGAAAAGTAGAGACCGAGATATGATATGCGAGTAAAAACTGAGACTGAGTACAAATAGCATTTAGCAGGTAATTCAACATGTAACACGGCCTTTGTGGGTCCCAACAGTACCAATACATAGCCTAAACATGATCTCTAACACGACTCATAGTCAAATATCTATAACACATGGAGAGCATATAGCTAACAACAAGTTTATTCAACTTTTCAGTTTCACGGATTGGATGAAGTCACAATTCCCACGGTACACGCCCATACGCCCGTCACCTAACATGTGCGTCACCTCCAAAACAATCACATAACAAAAATTCCGGGGTTTCATACCCTCAGGACCAAATTTAGAGCTATTACTTACCTCAATCCGAGCAAAGCTCTACTCCAATATGCCCTTGCCTTGCGAATTGGCCTCTAAATGTCCTGAATCTAGCCACAATTAGTACAATAAATCAATACGGGCTAAAGGAATTAATTCTACAAGAATTTACGAAATTATAGCTCAAAATTCGAAATCAGCTCAAACCTGATATCCGGGTCCACGTCTCGAAATTCGACAAAAGTCACAAAACCCGAAAGCCCATTCACTCACGAGTCTAGTCATACCAATTTCATCAAAATCTAACACCAAATGGTCATTCAAATCCCCAAAATTCACTCTCCAAATCCCTAGCCTCAAACCCCTAAATTTCACCTCAAAAAAATGCACCAACTAGGTGAAAAATCAGTGGATAAACATAATTATTGAAGAAAAATGAACACAAGGAGCTTACCTCAAGAATCTCTTCAAAAACCCTCTCAAAAACCTCCAAAATCCGAGCTCAAAGTGTTAGAAATGGTGAAAAACCTCGGAACCTCATATTTATATGCTCTGCCCAGGTCTTCCGCACCTGCGGCCCAAATCCCGCTCCTGCGGGCTCGCTTCAGCGAGGAAAAATCCGCTTCTGCTGAAACCACTAACTTCCCCAGCTACCACCCCTACGCACCGCTATCCGCTTCTGCGCAACACGCCCGCATCTGCGGCATCGCAGGTGCGGAAAGACCCTCGCACTTGCGGCTACTGCCAAACTTCCTCCTTTTAGCTTATGTGGGCTCCTTCCTGCTTCTGCGGTCTCGCACCTGCGAGGAGACTTCCAGATGTGCGATTACACCAGCTGAGTCCAAACTTCACCAATTCCTCAAATCAAACTCCAAGTCCGTTAACCACCCGAAATCAACTCGAGGCCCCCGGGATCTCAATAAAACATACCATTAATCCCAAAACACGATACGAACTTAGTTAAACCCCCAAATCACCTCAAACAACATCAAAAACACGAATTGCACACGGATTCAAGCCTAATGAACTTTGAAATTTCCAAATTCTATAAACGACGCCGAAACCTATCAAATCACATCCGATTAACCTCAAATTTTGCACACAAGTCATAAATGACACCATGAACCTATTCCAACTTCCGAAAATTCAGTCTGACCCCGATATCAAAAAGTCCACTCCCGGTCAACTTTTCAAAATTCCAACTTTCGCCATTTCAAGCCTAATTCTACTACGGACCTCTAAATCACAATCCAGATACGCTCCTAAGTCCAAAATTACCTAACGGAGCTAATGGAACTATCAGAATTCAAATTCAAGGTTGTTTACATATAAGTCAATATCCCTTCAATTTTTCCAACTTAAGCTTTCAATTAGAAGACAAGTGTCTCAATTTACTCTGAAATCTCTCTGGACCTGAACCAACCAACCCGGTAAGTCATATAACAGTTGTAGAGCACAAAAGGAGCAGTACATGGGGGAACGGGGCTACAACTCTTAAAACAATCGGCCGGGTCGTCTCATCCTCCCCCTCTTAAACAAACGTTCGTCCTCGAACGGGTCTAGAAACATACCTGGAGTCATAAATAGGTGTGGATATCTGCTCCGCGTCTCCCGCTTGGTCTCCCAAGTAGCCTCCTCCACAGGCTGACCCCTCCACTGTACCTTCATTGAAGCTATATCCTTTGACCTCAACTTTCGAACCTGCCGATCCAAAATGGCCCCCGGCTCCACATCTTAAATCAAATCACCATCCAACTGAATCGTGCTAAAATCCAAAACATGAGACGGATCACCGACGTACTTTCGGAGCACAGAAACATGAAATGCTGAATGCACACTCGATAATCTAGGTGGCAAGGCAAGCTTGTAAGCAGGGACGGATCCACGTGGAGAGGTATGGGGCACGTGAACCCATGCACCCCTCCCTAAGTTGTGTATTGCACTGGTATTTTTTGGTAAATAATGATATATTTTCATGTGGGAACCCATGATCAAAACCACATTTGGTGCAGTGGTTGAGTTGTGCCCCTTTGCATTCCCTAGGGCTAGGGGTCGAATCCGTATCCTACCTTTCAGTTGAAAGTTTTTTCTCTATTTCTATTTTTCTTCTTCTTTATTTTCTACGCCCAATCTTTCTTCTTTGTTTCAATTGAAATACCAACACCCTACATTTTTCTTTTCTGTTTATGTTTTTCCCAGTCGTTCTTCTGGTTTTTGGTTCACTCTTTACCTATCTTTGGATTAAATTCTTCTTTTCTGTTTCTTTTTGTTGGCTTCCCTTTCCTTTTTCTTCTTTTGTGTTTTCTTCATACATTTTTTTGGGGTTCAATCTTTCAGATTCAAAGATCCAAAAAAGTGAAATTCTAGGTTAGTGTGAATTTTTTCAATTTCAAGTTTCCTTTTTCTTCATTTACCATTCTTTTTTTGAATAGTTGTTTCGTTTTATGATATAGAACTAAGTATGTAACTATATTGCTATGATATTATTCTCGTAAGTAGGGAAACTATCATTGATATTTGTCAACGGAA